TTCTCCTGACTGTGGGGCCACCTCTGGAGTATAGTTTACCTACTAGGAGCCATGTCCTAAGGGAAAACTGACTGTCCCACCCCCAGAAGTCATCCGCTGCCCATAGATCCTTACTTAGGGATGGGGGCTCATGCACCCCTTCCTACTCTGTGTCAGAATGCTGGGTGGCTTGATCTTATAGAGGCCTTGTACAGGCAACCACCGTTACTAGAGTTCTTCATGAAGGTAGTGACTACCAAAACTTCTTATATAATGGGTCTTGACTCCATGTGGAGTTGGGTAACTGAATGTGGAGGTTGTGGAAAATTTGGCAATAGTGAAATGTTTCTAAATGTATAATAACAAAAAATCAAATCTAATGTGTAATGAATCTAAGGTGTTTCTGTCAGTAACCTCCCATGTTGTATTGTGTCACTTTCCTTTGGTCTGGAGCAAAGGGCAGACACACCTTGCACTGAATATGCTGCCATGCCCCTCAGTGCCAAAAGACAGTGCCCAAACACCTTGGCTCAGATTTAAAATTATTATATGTTATGAAATGTTATGATGTGAAGTGTTTTTTCTGTGTCTATACCTTTTTCTGCTCATATAGAAATAGTGTAATCTCATTATAGAGAACAAAGACTTTTTATCATTCCTAAGCATGTAATTATCACATTCAGATATATTTATATTGTGTTGTGTTGTGTTGTATTGTGTTAGAAGGTTTGATTTTAAAAATGGCTATTTGGGTTACTGAGTGTCATTTAAAAAATCGTTAAATGAATTCTGACTTGGAATTAATTAGGTCAGGATTTCCATCTGAAATCATTCTATTAATATTTCTGCTAATTTGTATTACATAAATTATGTAAACTGTCATTTTCAGTTATAAAATTGAAATGCTGATGAACTCTGAAAAACATTGAAGATACTACAAATAGCCAGTAAGTATTTGAAAAAAATAGGCATATCTGTCTCATTAGTCTACAAATTTGCTTTTGTCTTTAATGAATGATAAGATTATTTTACAATAAATTGTTTTATAGTTTTATCAGTGTTTGATTTGTATAACTGTTTTATATGCATTAAAATTTCTCAGGCTGAAGGGGTCATGGATGGATGTGTTAGAGAAACCCTGTTCTAGAGCGCATCAATTGTTCTTTAAACCCCCCTTTCTTCCGCAAGCCCCCCAAGAGCCCTGGAAAATGCCTTGTGTTACTTTCATGCAATGGGCTTGATACAGAGCTGAGGCCCTTTCAACTTAGTGTTCTGCTGCACCATCCAAGAACACATCCAGAATATGAAAATTCCACGTTTTCTTTTCCCCAGAAAAGGAATTAAATAATTAAATAATGCCCCTTGGGCCTGGACTCTGAAAATCAAGGCTGCCATCCCTACATATTCCTGCATGAAAACTCCATACCAAAATAGAAAGGCTTAAAGTAACATTTGTTTTGTTCATAACCCTTCAATTTCAGTAGGGCATTAAAAGAATAGCTTATCTTTGATTACTGTAACAGGTGCAGCTACTCTAATGCTCTAAGGAAGTATGAGGGTGCATGGGTTTTGGAGACCCCAGCACCCAGCCTCTGTCAGTTATGACAGAGCAAATATGGCTCTCCTGTCCTGTCCTCTCCTCTCCCCTCCCCTCCTCCCCCTCTTCCTCTCCTTTTCCCTCTCCTATTCCCTTCTGCTCTCCTCTACTCCCACCCCCTCACCCTGGCTCACAAGATCTTTCCAGCTTCTGAGTAGCTGCACATCTTTCAGGAAAGCTGTGCTGCTGAGGTGTAGGTTGGCTTTTTATGAAGTATCATCAGAAGTTAACGATGCTACATCTATCATATTATGCCCATCAAGGCTGCCACAAGGCCCATCGAAGTTCTGGGGGGGGATAGCTTCTTGTTGGGGGACAGTAAGTTTCTAGAACAACATGTAAGACTATAAATACTGCTATGGGAAGATTTTGAGAATTCCCTCTGCCACAAGGAGCAAATCGCTGTCGAGAATATGGAGACCTTGGTTGTTAGTGAGCACTCAGACAGATGACAGCTCTGCTGCTGCCTTTTGAGCACTATAGGTTGAAATAGGATAAAATAATACAGCCAAATGGAGGCCAGATCAATGTACACCTCCTGCCCACTACGTTGCTTCTTCATACCATTGCTAACAGTTGTGGAAACATCAGTAAACTAAGGAAAGCTGGGATTTTCAGAGCAAAGGCAAAAAAAAAAAAAAAAAAAAAAAAAAAAAAAAGTTGGCAATGGGTCTCAGGATTGATGGCTCTCAGGGGGCATCGAGCCCAGCAGTTGACATTTCAGCTGAGGGAAAGTTTTACTTTACAGATCTGGGGGTGTCATTCCATGACACACATACTGGATTTGGTCTGCTTGTAGGATGAAAGAAGGTGAAAAGCCATGCAGGTCCTAATTCTGCTTTCACAAAGGTGACCTAGTAATGAAGTACTCACCATACGATGGAACACAGGGGAAACAGAAATCTCCATGGTGGAGTAAGAAGATGGAAAAAAAGTGTTGGCGTATGTGAGAGAATGTTGGAATATGACAAGAAAATGAGAGCTCACTGTCATTGTACTGTCTGGCTGTGTCTACATGTAAAATCATGCAATAAACAGGTGCTAGGAAGCCAGAAAATAGAATAGATTTTCAAAAATATAATATTTTTAACTATAATTATGAAGAGATGAGACTAAGACCTAAGAAACAGCTGGGCCTGGTGGCACACGCTTTTAATCTCAGCACTTGGGAGGCAGAGGCAGGCAGATTTCTGTGAGTTCAAGGCTAAGCCTGGTCTACAGAGTGAGTTTCAGGACAGTCAGGACTGTTAAACAGAGAGACCCTGTCTCAAAAAACCAAAACTTAAACCAAACCAAAACCGAAGCAAACAACAATATCCCCTCACCCGCCAAGGAATAGCAAAATAACTTGAAATGGCTAAGAAACATATTTATTTTACTTTATTGTTTTATGTGTGTGGTGTTTTGCCTGTATGTATTTATGTATGCATATCACTTGCATTACTGGTTGTGTGGATACCAGAAGAGGGATGTTAGATCTCCTAGAACTAGAATTACAGACAGAATTGAACTCAGGTCCTCTGGAAGAGCAACCAGTGCTGAGCTATTTCCAGTTCTTATTGTTACTGATCTTTTGTTATTGTTATTGTTTTGTTTTTTGAGACAGGGTTTCTCTGTATTGCTTTGGAGCCTGTCCTGGAACTTGCTCTGTAGACCAGGCTGTCCATGAACTCACAGAGACCTGCCTGCCTCTGCCTCCCAAGTGCTGGGACTAAAGGTGTGGACCACCAATGCCCAGCTTGTTACTGACCTTAAAAATTATCATTCCTTTGGTCTTTGAACTGTTATTGAGAATTATTAAATCCTACCACCAAGGGGAGTGTTTTCAAGTGAAGGTCACAGACATTAGAAAACTCCTCTTCAATTTGATGGGTTATACATGTTTAAAAAGTATTTTATTAGTGCCTATTAATATACAAAACAATGGGTTTCATTTTGACACTTTAATAAATACATAAAATACTTTGTCAATATTATGCCATTATCCACACGTATTGCACATTCCATGAGAATCTTCCCTGTTCCTCAAAGGCTATTTCCTTTTTTCATTTTTAAAATCAAGACATTATTTTAATAGCATTTGATTCCGACTAAAGCTGAGATAGGTGGAAATCTGTCTCTTCCATCAGTTCTTCCTAATTCTTATTTGAATGACTGTGCTTTCAACCCCACTTAATGTCGCTGAGACAATTCCAGCAATGTATCAACAAACACCTGTGATATGTGTGTCATTATTGCTGTAGATTTTTTTGAACTTAACTTTTATTGATCCTTTGGGAATTTCACATCAGGCTCCCCAATCCTACTCATTCCCCAGTCCCTCCATATATACCCTTCACCTTTGCAGTGCCCCCACCCAATAACATTTAAATAAATAAATAAACAATGAAAACAAAACTACTTTGTTTTTCTGTCTTTCCTGCCTGCTCCCCTCCCCCATTCCTCTTAGTGGCACTGGGACATGTGGTGTGTCATGCAGTAAACCCTTTTTGGCAAAAGCTTTACTTGCAATTGTCCACTGCAACAAGTCGTTGGTCGGGTTCAAAGCCCCTGGCTTTTGGCACACCATCAATACTGGACCCTCACTGAAATTCCTCTTGGATATTCTGGTGTTGCCCCGCGTCATGGAGATCCTGCCCCTTTGCTTCCATAGAACCAGTCCCTTCATGTATTCCAGCTAGTCATAGATGGGGTAGATGGTGGAGTGGGCCAACCTAAGACACTGGATGTGGGCTTGGGTGGCAGCTGAGTTGGTCAGTCTGGGCCTCCACTGGGCTCACTCCTTTCAGACAAGGAGCTGAGTGAGCTCTCCTGTGCCCACACCATCAGGGTCAGCTCCCAGAAGGCTGTGGTGCAGGGTGGGGTGGGTCTTGTCCCACCACCGCGCCAGCCCCAAATAACGCACTGAGACTCCGTATTTGATATTATGCTGTTGGCCAGGTGCTAGTTTCTTATCGGCTAGCTCTGTCTTAAGTATTAACCCATTTCTATGTATTTCCACGTGGTCTTACCGAGAGCGGAGGAATGGCGGTTCTGTTCTCTCCAGGCTCTCCATGTTGGAGACTCCTCCTCCCTACTTCCTATTTCCTCCTTGTCTCCTAGTCCCTCCTATCTTCCTTTCCTATTGGCCAACAGTGCTTTATTTATTAACCAGTATGAAAAACATATACAGGATGACATCTCCCATTAGTGGGGCAAGCTCCTCCAGGGCCAGGATTATTTGGGCCAGCTCTCCTGTATGGGATGGGGCCATCTCTCCCTCTGTAGAAGCTAGTCAGGGGCAGGAAGGACCAGCTCTCCCAGGGTCATCAAAGGAAAAGGCTGACTCAGCACTGCCCTCAGATTTCAAGCTGAATGGTTTGAATGGCCCCTGGTTGTAGCACAGATCAAAGACATCAACATAGACCCCATCTGCAGCAGGAACATGTACCCAGATATGGCTCTCAACAGTAGCTTAGGCCCAGATGTCATCATGGCCCCAAGCTGCAGTACAGGCCACCTCGATCAGTATGGCCCCAGCAGCAGCATGGCTCTCAAGACACCAACTTGGTCTCAGGTGGCAGCCAGACCCCAGGCATCTACACAGTATTCAGTGGTAACAGGAGCCACTATGGACATCAACATAGACCTTGACTGCTATAGGGCCACAAACCCAGACATGACCCTTGGCAGCAGCCTGGACTTGGACATCACTATATCCCCAAATGGCAGCACAAGTCACTCAGATCAGCATGGTCCTGGTAGAGGCACAGTTCTTGGACACCAACATGGTCACAGGTGGTGACTCAAATCCTGGTCAACCATGTGGCCTTTGGTTGTAATATGGACCACAGATATCAACACAGAGCTTGACAGCAGTAGGACCACCATATGTTTTTAATTTGATATAATCTCACATGTCAATTCTTGCTATCATTTCCTGAGCTCTTGGAATCAATCCAGAAAACTTTCCAATATCCTTTTATAGTGAACTATTTCCCTTTAGCAAAGTTTCAGGTTTAATATCAAGTTCTTCGATCACTTTCACATTGATTTTTGTACTAAGGAAGACACAGAGACCAGCACTCACTCTTCTGCGAGTGTTTATATAGTTGCTCCAGCATTGTGTGGTAAAGAAAATCAGCTTTCTTCCAGGGTAGGATTGGCTGTTTTTGTGCAGTTCTGTTATATGATCACAGTGAAGCATCATTGGACCAGGCAGAGAAGTCTGGTGAAGTTGGCTCTTGAAAAGTAAGTACACAATAATCACGTACAGAGGTAAGGGGTATAAATGTATGCAATGAAAACAGCAAGAATGCTTAGAAGAACAGTTTATTTGGTAATTTTACACTATGAACCTCACGAAAGAATAATGTGAACAGGGCTGGAGGCTCGATGAGGGCCACATTGTGGAAAGTTTTAAAAGCAGTGGCAAGGAGCTTGTACTGCCAGTGGAATACAGGAAGAGCCCAAAAGTTAATGTTTGATGGTTCTATGGGAGGTTAGTTCAGAGGCAAGGAGTTAAGTCCAACTGGGAGGTCAGAACTAAACTCCAGGTGTGTGGCAATCAGAGACCTAGAACTGGAAAAGGAGAAACATCTGGGCAGGGGTAAATATAAGAAACGTTTAGGACAGACTCAGCAGACTTTGTGACTTGACGTAGGATTTAAAAATGACTATGATTATGGTGTGGGTATCGAGGGGGAGGCATCGGGACTAATGAAGCATAAAACAGAAAAGAGAAATAACTAGAGAGAAGAAGAGATTTGAATCCATTTTGGGGCATATTGAGGTTTAATTGATAGTGTCTTCTACCTGACCAATATCTAACTGATCTTCACAGCACTAGAGACTTCTGAACAGAAGCTAGCTCAGCAGACCTCTTACGAGATTTGGGAGGAGTTGATAGTACAAGTGGGAGACACAGATCCATGCTGCCAACTGTAGAACCCTGGGAGGGGTCCCCCATAACCCGAGAATTCTATTCAAGTGAAGCTGGGACCCTTGACCACACTGCAGGGAAGTATTTCAAGGTGAGTTAGGATGAAGCATAGTTGGAGTTTATGGAGAAAAAAATGTATCAGTGATTTAAGCACAGGGATTTGGAGGAGGGGAGAGACAGGTGAGTGGGGTGGGGAAAAATGCATCTGTAGGGTCTGCCTGGACTTCTGGAGAGAAGCCAGTACTCAGAGTCTTAATAACTATGCATGTGGATAGCTTTTGAAGTTGGGTTGTTCAAAGGATTTGAAAGATGAAATGAAAATGTTTTTCTTATATTTATTTTTAGTTAGGAACTTTTCTTTAGTAGATGAGATTGGAAGCTTGAGGTCTATAGGTTAGTAAGTAGGGAAAAGGCTCAAAACAATCCTTAGTATCCATGGTCACAGGGAAGCCAAGGCATGTTTTCACTGCAAATATGATCTGTACTTGTGTAAGATTCTTGATTCTTAGTTACAGTGGTGAGTGACCCCTTTCCTATGCAATAGCCCCATAATTTTCTCTGTCTTTCTATGGGGCATGGAGGGTAGAGGTCCGGAACTTACTGATGGCTTATATGGATGCCTCTCAGAAGTTTTACTGTGAGAAGGGAAGTTTGACAGTGACCGTGCTGATAGGGATGCTTTAGTGGGAGAAATTCAGAAAGTGCAGATGTGATCTCAATCTCCTCTGTGTGCCTCACCCTTTGGTCTACCCACTGTTTGAAAAACAGGCACTGCCTGGACACTTCCCGAGTCAAGTGCTGAGGACACTACGGGCATCTTTAAGGAGCTCACAAACTGATGTCACTTTGATGTTTGTAGCTCACAATGTATAACTCTCATTCAATTTGAGTGTTCAAAAAAAAAAAAATGGCCAAAAGTGTTTTTGTGTAAAATAGGAAAAAATTAATTGGTCCTTACCTAACTTAAAAAAAGAAACAACATACATAACTCATAGTAATTTTTCTGGTAATTGGAATATCCCTTCTGTTAAGGGACAACAATAGAATGGGGAAAAATTATAGAATCAATTTGGAAACTCAAATATGCTGAAGCATAGGACTGTCAAGCCTGGGGCATTTAGCAAGCCATAAAAAGCTGGAGCTAGAATTAAAGGACTAGACTAGCATCCGGTCCCCACCAAGATGGGGGGTTGCTTATGGTGGAACAAAACTGCACAAGATTTCTCAGAACAAAAATCACCCCAATTCCCTAGCAAAGGGATATGCAAATCCTCTTTAAATGAAGAGTAGTCCCCTAGAAAAGAATCTCTCAACCTGTAGGTCACAACCCCTTTCACAGGGGTTGTATAAGACCATTTGAAAACACAGATATATACAAAACAGTAGCAAAATCAAAATTACAGTTATGACGTAGCAATGAAAATAATTTAATGGTTGGGGATCACCACAATGTGAGGACCTGCGTTAAAGGGTCAAAGCATTAGGAAGGTTGAGAACTCTGTTCTAGAGGCAATTTCCCCATGTAATTTTTAGAACATAATTTAAAGCCAGTCATACAAAATAAGAATATATGGATGACAAAACAGAAGAAATAAAGGGTAATAGAAGTAGGTTAAATGGTATAAACTTGCAGTTGTGTGGGATGAAGAAGTCTAGAGATCTCAAATACAGCTCAAGGGCTACAGTTAATCACACTGCATTACAAAATGGAAATTTACCAAGCCTATGTATGGTAAGTACTCTCATCCTACATACACATGTATGTATACACACAATAACCGCGTGTGATGTTGAGAGGGCTAGTTTGCAAAACTAACACGTATATATAGACATACATACAGAATGATATATAAGAATAACTACAGTAAGAAGTCACTATCACAAACCAAGAGAGACCCACTTTGTCATGGCAAAGTTGAATTTACGGGGAAGATGTGATACTTCTAATTTCATATACACTACTAACATAAATTCAAAATATACAAATTGTAACAGTACCAAACTACTGTCACATCTGGTAGGTTTTATACAACATACTTCTCATAGTAAATAATACAGCAAACAGACAAAAGTCATTCACCATATAGATTTCAACACAATCCATACTCTAGAGCTAAAAGACACATATGAAACATGCATAACAACTTCAGGCTAGAATCATTTTCTAAGCACACAAGGCAAATTCACAGAAATTTACTATACACTAGCATATGAAGTAATTATTAGTAAATTTCAAAGTATTTTTTAAAATTCAAAAAGTTACAAGTAAAATTAAAAGGGTAGGAATATAACCCCCCCAAGTTGATTTACAGAGTTAAATGTCTCAGAAAAATTTCTAAGAGGATTTGTACGTCTGCTTCCCCAGTGTGTGTGTGTGTGTGTGTGTGTGTGTGTTTATGCGTGTGAGTTGACATTTGATTATATTTTGTTTTGTTTTGTTTTGTTTTTGAGACAGGGTTACTCTGTGTATCCCTGGCTGTCCTGGAACTCAATTCTGTAGACCAGGCTGGCCTCAAACTCACAGAGATTCACCTGCCTCTGCCTCCTGAGTGCTGGGATTAAAGGTGTATACCACCACCAACTGACTGTATTTTTCTTCTTTTTATTTAATTTTTTTGGTGTGACATCTGATTCTAGTGCTTTTATGACAATATGAACGGTTAACTAAGGACATCCAGGATACTCTTGAATGAGAATGAAGTGGAAAGCCTTACTCTTACAGCTATGAAGACTATAAAGCCATAGTCATTAAGATTATGGTGTTGGGGCAAGGATGGAAAATCAGGCCAATGAAACAGAAGAAAAAGTCCATAAGGACACCCCATTTACAATGAAGTTGTCACTGTGGAGTAGCAGGAAAAGATGACTTCTTCAACAAACATATTAAGTGAGGCACCTTGAACATCCATATTGAACATAAAGAGAAATTTAAATCCTGCTTTAAACTGCAGAACTAATTTATGGAATTAATGAGTTACAAACATGAAAGGTTAACAATGAACCATCTACATGATGATGGTAGAGAACAGCATATGACTTGCTATAAAGGAAGCACTTTCACGAGACACGAATGATACACAAGGCTGAAACAGATGATACACTTGAGCATGTAGACATTAATAACTTCTGCTTACCCAGAGATACCATGAGTGTCAACATATCCCACAGAACGTAGGCTATTTGCAATATGCACATCAACTGTACCTAAATTATACGACAAGACAAACAACCACAGATTGGCCAAAAACTCTGAAAAGTGGGATTGTCACATTACAAAATATTCTGAGGGCAGAGAAAGATTGTGTTACCACTACACACCCATCAGAATGGGTAACACTCTAAGACTGAGCATGCTAAGCATTGATGGGGCTGTGGAGAGTCAGGAATCCATAAAATTGTGTAGAAAAATTTGTTTAGCATTGTTGACTACAGAACATCATGACCAGTGAAGTTCACTTCTAGGCACAGACCAGAAGAAATGCAAGTTGGATACAGAAAGACGTGTGTAAGAACATTTGTTACAGAATTATTTATGATGACTAACTAGAGACAACCTGGAAGTCCACCGATAGTCAATTGAGTAAGAAAATTAGATTCTCTCCACAAAATGAAACTCAACAAAATGAGAACATGAGTAAAGATTATAAACCAAACATTATCCAAGACACAAACAGAAGAAATTAATCCACACAAGAGTCAAAAGCGATACAGTGACATCCCATGTTTAGGGATTAAGCATAGGTGGTAAAACTGCAAAGAAAAGCCAGAAAGTGACTTTTTTGAAGGGGAAAGAAGAGGAAACAATTGGGGGATACACAT